GTATGTATGTATGTATGTATGTATGTATGTATGTATGTATGTATGTACGTACGTACGTACGTATGTATGTATGTATGGATGGATGGATGTAATGATGGATGTGTGGGTACATTTTCAGAGCGTTGTAAAGACTCAGCACCTGGATGTTAACGGTGACCACATCGCTGGTCATCTCCTCCCTGTCCATGGCGGTCACTACAGACAGAACTCCGCTGTCAGGGTCGATGGCGAAGTTTCTCTGGTACTCTGCTGGGATGACTGAAGATACACAAATATAGACACGCTTGTTGTGTTTTTCTTCTTCACCTTAGCAGTAACACATGCACCGTGCGTTGGGGCTCACCAGAGCTGATGCTGTATGCGACCGTCGTGTTGATCCCAGTGTCTCCATCCTGGGCTTTTATTGCCTCTGGTTCTATTTTACTTAGTTCTCCTCCCTGAAATTAACAACATGCATGTTCAGCTTCACTGATTCACTTACTTACACACATTTCATAGGAAGACTGGTCAAACTCAATTATTTATGACCGTAAAATCCAAACTTTACTGAAAAGACAGCATGTCTGAGATCACAGCCCTGTGGTGCCGACCCTCACCTGGTTCTCCAGAATAAAAGCCTGATAGAGAGTGTGGCTGAAATATGGATTCAGGTTGTCAAAGTCCTCCACGGTTACCTCCACAGAGGCCGTGTCGTTGTGCCCGTCTTTATCCTGCAGTAAACAGTGTGCATGCGTGAGTGGGCTAACTCCGTGTGAGCGCTGTGTGTCCACGTGTACTCACTCTGGCAGTCACCACAAAGCTGTACTTTGAAACTAAGTTGTAGTTCAGACGTCTCATCAGCGTAAACGCTCCCGTGTTCGTCAAAGTGAAATACTCTGATTGTGGCTCCTGCACAAACGAAACAAGAAGCACTTTTCCATTCACTCCATTTGGACTCATCATAAAATTTGCAGGACATAAGTTTGAATCATCGTGTGATCGAGTGAGGTTTAGATGTTTGTTTTTCAGGACTAGAAATAGTTTGGGCTGAAAAATCACCATTTTCATTTTTTTTAAATCAAATGATCCTAACAAACAAATAACTAAATAAATAAATACATGTTATAACTCACAATATTTTTACACTTTTGTCAGCATAGTGTATGTATGTGCAACAGCTGTGCAGCTTTTTATTGCTTTGTAAAATAGTTTAATGGATTCCAATGAAAACGTTTTCATTTAAATTTTTTCTACCTTTTTTACTTTCACAGAGTTAATTCATGGAAAATACAGCGAGAATTACGGTTCCTGAAAACCCTAAATCACTTGAGCAGTTCCACATGACTGCAAACATTTAAAATACATATTAGGCACTAACTGTACCAAGAAAAACATTTATAAGATACAAGATTTTAATCTGAACAATAATGTAAAAACCTTTTCTTCTTTCAGGTTTGCATAAAATGGGATGAGAACAAAGACAACGTTGCACATTACGACAGAATTAAAAATAAAAACAGCAAACAACATCTACGCCCAGCATCCACTGAGCTATGAACTATTTCAGCCACGACTACATTTTTCATTTTCAGTATTCAAAATGATCGTTGTAGCAGCTTCTTACGTAAGAATATGTCAGCCTGTTGTTCTCTGGGGTGCTGTCTGCGTCCACAGCTGTCACTCGAAGCACCTCGGTGTTAACAGCCACAGTCTGAAGTGTAAGAAAAGATCAAGAGACAGAAACAAACACAAGCACGTGCAAAACTAAAGGAAAAATAGGGCACCACTTTATAACAAGGCTGCCCTTATAGGTGCTAACAAACTGTTTATAAATACGTTATTACTTCCTCTATAAACACTTTATCAATCATTAATAACTGCTTATTATGCATTAATTAAGGGTGACAGAGCAAACTGACCACACTTTTCACTCTGCTGCTGTCTTTACTTACTCTGCTCAGCCTGTTTTGTATTTGTAATTATTTATATACTTAACATGAGTTTTTGTCTTTCCTCCTACAGAAAGTACACCTGGACCTGGACCTACACCTGGACCTGGACCTACACCTGGATCTACACCTGGACCTGGACCTACACCTGGACCTGGACCTACACCTGGATCTACACCTGGACCTGGACCTACACCTACACCTGGACCTACACCTGGACCTGGACCTACACCTGGACCTGGACCTATACCTGGACCTGGACCTACACCTGGACCTGGACCTACACCTGGACCTGTACCTACACCTGTACCTACACCTGGACCTGTACCTACACCTGGACCTGGACCTACACCTGGACCTGAACCTACACCTGGACCTGGACCTACACCTGGACCTGGACCTACACCTGGACCTGGACCTGGACCTGGACCTACACCTGGACCTGTACCTACACCTGGACCTGGACCTACACCTGGACCTACACCTGGACCTGGACCTGGACCTACACCTGGACCTGGACCTGGACCTGGACCTGGACCTACACCTGGACCTGGACCTACACCTGGACCTACACCTGGACCTGGACCTACACCTGGACCTGGACCTACACCTGGACCTGGACCTGGACCTACACCTGGACCTGGACCTACACCTGGACCTGGACCTGGACCTACACCTGGACCTGGACCTACACCTGGACCTGTTTGTCTCCAGCTGTTGTCTGTTTTTCACCTTCCTTTTTAATGTGAACACTCAAAAACTGCACATTTTATTGCGGCGCTGCAGAGAATCAGCCGAAAGTCCAGAAAAGAAAAGGAGTCACTGAACGCACCACGTGAACCTGACTCACCTCCGAGAGACTGATGGAGTAATGCTTCTGCTGAAACACCGGCCTGTTGTCGTTGATATCATTGACTCTCAGTTTGCGTTTGTTGTCATACTGAAAAATTAAACAGTATTGAAAGTATTTTGTTAATTTATTCTTTTCAGTAAAAAATGAACGATAAAAAAGTAAAAGCTGAAACTTGGAATTTCACCCACCTCAAAAAGAGACCGACACCTGACAGCGTAGTACAAGACGTTGTTCGTCTGTAACACATGAGCACAATCAATTCTAGTCCTGTCAGAAAGTTTTACAGATGCTAAACTGAAGCTGAAGAAATGTTTAAGATGTTGGAAGCAGTAAAGACGGTAAAATGTCTGTTTCTCTTTTCTCTTCCACGGCTTAGAGACACAAGGGAGCTTGACTCCGGAGTTTGTTTCCTGCTTTTGTTCACAGAACGTGACAGCAGGACCTGAACGCTGCTGCACAGCAAGAGGGCTTTCTGCTTCAGCGAGAGAAAACACGTTCTGAAAAATACGCTGCGCTGACTGCAGCTGAGATTTGCTCAAGAAGCTGAAACTGAGTTGTTGAAGCTAAAAAGAAAAAGCAGAGCACAAACTAAAAGCCAAAAGCTGGAACACTAGCTAAAGGCTAAAAGCAGTAAAATGCTAGCTAAATATTAAACATAAGCTAAAAGTATCAAAACACTAGCTAAAAGTTAAAGGAAGTAATTAGCTAAAAGTAGCCAAATGGTACATGGACTGTACTTATACAGCTCCTTTCTATCTTATTTCAAGACACTAAAAGATCTTTACAACAATCTGTGCCTCATTGACCCATTCATACAGCTCTATACTAGATCTCTACAAAGCTACTTGAACAAATCATTCTAACGAGACTAATCAGAGCTTTATCACATTCATACACCGATGGGACACACATCAGAGGCTATGAGGGGTTCAGCGTCTTGCCCAGGGACACTTCGGCATGTGGATTAGAACCCCCAACTCTCACATTGAAGGACGACTGCTCTAACCACTCAGCCACAGCCGCCCTAAACTAAAAGCTAAAAGTAGCTAAATGCTTGCTAAAATATTAAAGTTGCTAAATAGTAAAAATAGCAAAAGGCAAACTAAAGTTAAAAATAGCATAAAGGTAGCTAAAAGCTAAAATTAGCAAAAGCCGAACTAAAGCTAATTGTAGATTAAAGGTAACCAAAAGCTGAAAGAAACATAAAAAGACACAAATAAAGCACTAAAGCAGATATCATTGAGAAGAATGTTTTGGGAGAAACTGAAGGGATTTTGATGTATTTCTATATTAATTAAAATTAATTTGTAAATTATGTCAAATATTTTAAAAAGGATCCGATACAAAATGCCATAATACCAGTTTCCTGAATGAGCTGAACTTTTAGTTATATAAGAACTAGCACAAAGCCTGCAGAAGTAAGTAGTTTGTAAAAACTGTACAAACAATTAGGAGCAGGAACAGCTTGGTCACGTGTGAAGATGAAAAGTTTCAAAAGCTCACCGAGGCCAGGACGTCTGCATCCAGGGCTTTCTTGGTGCGAACGGTCGCGCTGGTGTCACCAGGAGTAAAGCTCAACTCCAGAAAGTCCAGGTGCTCAGGGAAGATGTAGGGCTCTAACATGAGAGAGTTGTCAGGTTCAACACCGTCCAGCACCTCCACATCACCTGCAGCACAAGATGGAGCAGAAAACAAACGCAGGGAGCTCAGAAAGCCCTCCTGTCTGTTCACAACCACGTGCTTCATGTACGCTGGAAACAAGGAAGGTGAGCAAAAGATGCCGCAGCCTAACGAAGAACGCTTTCACCTTTCCAAACCTTTACTTCATGTCTTAACAGCTCACCTGCATAGCCTTCATCCACAGAACCCACTTCATGCTCTGCAGAACTTCCATCGCACTTTATGGTTGTTGTACCTTTGGAAACAAATGATTTTATACATTTAGTTTAAAAACATTCATTCACACTTGTTTCCAAAGTTAGGATGCTGTAATAAATACAGCATAATGCAGTGTTCACTAATCACCGAAAGCCTAAAATACTTGGAAACATTTTTAACATTTATGAAAACTGCCTTTCAAAACAGAAGCTCCTTGTGTCAGTCAGTAAAAATGTAAATCAAACAACAACAAGTGAATAGAGCCAGAGCAAAGCCAAGTTTATACAAAGGCAAAATTACAACTGGATCAGAGGTGGCGTTCTGACTGGTCCTCAGTGTTCGGACCTGCACTTTCACCAAACTTCACCAAACTTCACCAAACTTCACCAAACTTCACCAAACTACACCAAACTACACAAAACTATACCAAACATCACCAAACTTCACCAAACTTCACAAAACTATAACAAACTTCACCAAACTACACCAAACATCACCAAACTTCACCAAACTTCACCAAACTACACAAAACTATACCAAACTTCACCAAACTACACAAAACTATACCAAACTTCACCAAACTACACCAAACTTAACCAAACTACACAAAACAATACCAAACTTCACCAAACTACACAAAACTATACCAAACATCACCAAACTATACCAAACTTCACCAAACTACACAAAACTATACCAAACTTCACCAAACTACACCAAACTATACCAAACTTCACCAAACTACACAAAACTATACCAAACTTCACCAAACTTCACCAAACTTCACCAAACTACACCAAACTTCACCAAACTTCACCAAACTTCACCAAACTACACCAGTCAGATGTTCCTCCTGCAGATGGATCACCAACAGCCAGGCAGCAACACTCGAGCATTCGGTGAGTCAGGCTGCTCCCTTCAGGGGTCACCACTCGCAGGAAATACATGTTTTTGACAATTTGTTTTGCCAAATGACCTTCCTGACGCAACCTGGGCTCGAACCCGCAACCTCAGGAATACAAGACCGCAGCACGGAGAAGGAGTTCTCTGCAGACTGAAAGTGGGCGTTTGTGGGAGACAGACACTGACTGGCAGCTGTTTCTGCTGCTCTTCAGGTAAGTTACATCAGATCTTTATTAAAACTGAAGGTTTGTAAGAAGCAGCGTTATCTCTGCTGTCAAACACAAGAAGAGTCTCTTTAGTCCTTGTAGCTGCACCTGACACAGGCTGGCCTGAGTCTGGTCTGGGTACAATCAAATCTGAAGCATCTGAAGAGAAACCTGCTCCATTTGTCAAAAAGTCTGGTCTCAATTAAAGATCAGGAGTCCTGTGACGAGATAACGGCTCAAAACCAAATGTTCTTTAGAAGTTCTTCTATGAGACCTGATCTGTGAAAGGAGCTGAAACATGGAGAAGGACTGAGCCTTAAAACCTGAGACAGCTGAGGAAGTGAACCAGTAAACAGAATACCTGCTCCAGGTGCAGAAACTGACCATCACTCATCTGCAGGGACTGATTTAAGAGTTGAACAAGAAAATGTGAAGTTGAAGGAAACAAAGACAGTTGAAGTATCATTAATATTTTGGTTACTTTATTTTTCTTTCTTTATGAATTGATTGTAACTATTTTCACATTATTCAACAACCAAAATGGATTTTGTTTTTTAATGTTATTACTGGGTATTAAAAAAAAACATTTAGCCCTGCCCACTACCCAGTTATGTTGCTCTTATTTTGAAATGTAACAGGAAGTTCTGTGTTAAGAGACGGAAAGAGAAGTTGTGGAGACGCTGCTAATGTCGAACCAGTTAACACTATAGACATAATATGTCTGTGGTTAACACAAACAGCTTTTTTCATTCAGCCTTTTTTCCTATAGTCCAATCAGATATGACCTGCCAGACACGCCCATTTTCCTATAGTCCAATCAGATATGACCTGCCAGACACGCCCATTTTCCTATAGTCCAATCAGATATGACCGACCAGATGCGCCCATTTTCCTATAGTCCAATCAGATATGACCCCCCGGATACGCCTTCTGAATTTGCCTGCAGTGATATCTACTTGGCAGCACTGGCTGCAGATCTACCGCAGCCACGCCCGATACTTATTTATTATTCCTCACATATACGTCTGCAGAGTTCAGTGCTTGGATTTTTATCAAAATCACTATAAACTATAATTATTTTCCGTCTTTACATGATATGGTCTTTTAGTGTCTTAAAATGTAAAAATATCAATAAATGTTAAAATTCATGATATAGTTTTAGTTTTAGTTTTATAATGTCAACCCCTCCCCCCCCCACTCCCCCCCACTGGCCAGAAAGGTCCCCTTCAACAAACTCAGTGGCCCATGGGCCATGAGTTGATAATCACAGTTTTCTCAAGTTTTGCGGCTCCAGACACGTTTTATTTAGTGAGCGAAGAGGCAGAAATGGCTCTTTTGATCAAAAAGGTTGGAGACCTCTGGCTTAGGTTAAATATGTCTGATATTAAATATAAATAATAAGATATAAAATGTGAAAGGAAATAGAATATGGGAAATCTACAAGAGGGCCAATAGTATTTCATGACGGTAACAAACTTTAAAAACAGCAGAGATGTCTTTATTTAGGAAAATTAAGGTTTTCTTTGATAATGCTTAAAATAACTTTTAATTTATGAAATTAGAGCATTAACCTCATTGTTATATAGTTAAAAATGTTAAATTTTAACTTTTTTCACTCACATGTTTTGACATTTTTGCTTTGACAACAGTAAAAATATTCGACTGAAGGTAACTTTATTTTGACCATAATAAGATGCAAACAGGAGAAACGACAGAGAGAGCATGAGTGAACCACACAGCTGTAAACCATCCAGATGTGTCTCGAGACAGGCCGAGAAGCTGGGAGTTGAAGTCACCATGGGTAAGCGCCAGATACAAGGCTACCGTACAATTTTTAAGTCCCACCCAGGGCACAGGTGGCCCGTTCACCACAGGGTCACATCAAGACAAGCCATGCACACGCACACCAAAAGACAATTTAAAGTCATCAGCAAACCCGTGGGTACAAGTCCTCTTCGAGGACACACTCACCGATTGGACTTCCAGTGTTGCCGTGAACCCAAACTGAGACAAGAAGAACCAAACCAATCCAACCCAGTCCACCACTGTCCATGTTGTGTATTCCCAAACCCAACAAGTGACACTGAGCTGGTCACCTGGACTCCAGGTGGTACGAATGTCTCCAGTTTACCTCGCCTCCTTCCTAACAATCCTGTTTTATGACGGCTGTAAAGTGGTTCAGCGATGGCGCACAGTGTCAAAGATCAGTACTGAGTTTCATTTCCCCGTTGAGGATGAGCAGTTTATTGATGGCTTGACTAAAATACTCCCTCAATAAAAACCTTCTGCACGTTAGATTTTCTGATGCGTCAGAAATATTTTGGACTTGTGTCGTACGTTCACGTTATGTTCATGTATTTTTTCTTCAGTGTAGTCATGTCCTTCAGAGTCTCCCATCTATAAGAGTTACAAACCATCAGGGATAAAAAGAGCAACTGTCTTTTTGACTGAACATAATTCTCAGTGGGTTAGAATGAGTCCAGTAGAGGTTTTTTCATTTTATCTCATCAAAAACAAACACAAATTATTCCAACACTGAAAATAATCAAAACATTTATCTTTTTAATTTCACCTTTGTGATTATGACATTTCAATAATCCTACTTAATAAAAGCTACATTTAACAGATGACGTGGTCTTTAAGGAGATCTGTCTTTGTTAACCACATCAGTCCAGCAGCATGGAGGCTTGCATGAGCACCCACATCTGCTGAACTCTGACTCACATCCAACTTGATTAGATCAGAGGTGAGACTTGCCCATCATTTTGAGATAAGTGCCAGTACTTTAAATTAGGGCTGAATTCACTGAGAGTCAAAGTCAAATCAGAATATCTGCTCATAGACAGTAAAAGCAGTTTTGTGTAAAAGCACTGGTCTTCTCTGTCTTTTATAAACGTTTCACTTTCTTCTTGTGTTATTTTGTTGTAGGCATGTGCCATGTTTCTAAAACATCATTACTGACCTAAGTATGACTGTTTTAATATTCTGAAACAGGAGCAGAGCTACAGGGGCGGCCAGGGTGGACCTTGGCACTCGGAAACCTGATCAGCCCCCCCAGGTGCCATCGCAGCTGATCGACAAGTCACAGGCAGCATCGAAAGATTCAGTTCAGTTTATTTATAAAGCACCAAATCACAACAAGTTGTCTCAGGGACTTTACAGGAACATTCACATAAAAACCAGTTAGTAAAGTTCTGTATCTAAAGAATCCAGCAGACAAGTTGTATCTTGGCTTCGTTGCAGTCTCCCATCCTGAGCAAGCACAGTGGAGACAGTGGAAAGAAAAACTCCCTTTAACAGGAAGAAACCTCCAGCAGAACCAGCTCAGGACAAGAGACCATCTGCTTTGACCAGCTGGTTGAGAGGACAGGAAGGAGAGACAGACGAACACAGAATGGTAGGTCCAGGTATAGGTCCAGGTATAGGTCCAGATATAGGTCCAGGTCCAGGTATAGGTCCAGGTCCAGGTATAGGTCCAGGTCCAGATATAGGTCCAGGTCCAGGTATAGGTCCAGGTCCAGGTATAGGTCCAGATATAGGTCCAGGTCCAGATATAGGTCCAGGTCCAGGTATAGGTCCAGGTATAGGTCCAGATATAGGTCCAGGTCCAGGTATAGGTCCAGGTATAGGTCCAGATGTAGGTCCAGGTCCAGATATAGGTCCAGGTCCAGGTATAGGTCCAGGT